CGGTGTCCCGCTGGTGTTCCGCTGGTGCCCCGTCGGCGTCCCGATGATGATGATGATGATGATGATGATGATGATGATGATGATGATGATGATGATGATGATGATGATGATGATGATGATGATGATGATGATGATGATGATGATGATGATGATGATGATGATGATGATGATGATGAAGAAGAAGATGATGATGATGATAAAGAAGAAGATGATGATGATGATGATGATGATGTCGATGATGTTGATGACGATGATGATGATGATGATGATGATGATGATGATGATGATGATGGTGATGGTGATGGTGGTGATGATGATGGTGCCCCGATGATGATGTTGACGATGTTGACGATGCTGATGATGATGATGATGATGGTGATGGTGGTAATGAAGATTGTGTCCCGATGATGATGGTGATGTTGATGTTGATGATGATGATGATGATGATGATGATGATGATGATGATGATGATGATGATGATGGTGTCCCGATAAAGATGATGATGATGATGATGATGATGATGATGATGATGATGATGATGATGATGATGTTGATGATGTTGTTGACGATCATGATGAGGTTGATGATGATGAGATGATGCGATGAAGTTGATGATGGGTATGATGATGATGGTGCCCCGATGATGATGATGATGTTGATGATGATGATGCTGTTGATGATGGTGATGATGATGATGGTGGCCCATGATGATGTTGATGACGATGATGACGATGATGGTGTCCCGATGATGATGTTGTTGATGATGATGATGAGGTGATGATTCTGATTTTGATGATGGTGTCCCGATGATGGTGATGATGATGTTCATGTTGATGATGATGGTGTCCCGATGATGATGATGCTGATGATGATGCTGATGTTGATGATGATGATGTCCCGATGATGATGCTGTTGATGCTGTTTTCATGATTACGATGGGATGATGATGATGATGGTGGTTTTCGATGGTGATGATGATGTTGATGATGATGGTGATGAGGTGGTGATGATGATGGTGTCCCGATGATGATGATGATGATGATGATGATGATGATGATGATGATGATGATGATGATGGTGATGTTGATGATGCGATGATGATGATGATGATGATGATGATGATGATGATGATGATCAGGATGATGATCAGGATGATGATGATGATGATGATGATGATGATGATGATGATGATGATGATGATGATGATGATGATGATGATGATGATGGTGATGATGATGATGATGATGATGATGATGATGATGATGATGATGATGACGTTGATGACGATGATGTTGTTGATGATGATGACGACGTTGATCGTGATATCAATTGTGATATCGATAAATAGTGATATTGATAGTGAGACCGAATGTGATATCGATTGTGAGATCGATAGTGAGATCGGTAGGATAGTCAGATCGATTGTGAGATCGATCGAATGAAATAGATCGAGTGAGATCGATCGAGTGAGATCGATCGAGCGAAACCGATAGTGAGATCGGTAGTGAGATCGATAGTGAGACCGATCGAGTGAGACGTTGGTTCCTCCCCCCCCGAACCTCCAGGGTGGTCGTATAGGTACACAGGATTCCCGGGAGTTGGGTTTCCGTTTTTTTCTGTTCCTTCAAAAGGTTACTCCCGTTGAAGCGCTGGCCTCATTTTCGGGCTTCCGCTCGTTCCGAATCGTGCTCACGCTGCAGCGCTGGCCTCATTTCCGCGCTTCCGCTCGTTCCGAATCGTGCTCCCGCTGCAGCGCTGGCTTCATTTCCGCGCTTCCGCTCGTTCCGAATCGTGCTCCCGCAACAGCGCTGGAGTCATTATTGTGAAGGCATTTCGGCCGGTGCCGCCGACCCTGAAGGTTTTGGCCGTCGATGGCGACGGGATGTGTGATCACATGAAGGAGCTAAAGGACAAAGTGACAGGGTAGGCGGAGGAAGTGTGTCAGGAGGAGGAGGAGGAGGAGGAGGAGGAGGAGGGAGGAAGGAGGAGGAGGAGGAGGAGGAGGAGGAGGAGGAGGAGGAGGAGGAGGAGGAGGAGGAGGAGGGAGGGGGGGAGACAAACGAAAGGAGATGCAGAAGGTGGCTTTAGACGCTCATGAGGAGGAGGAGGAGGAGGGGGAAGGAGGAGGAGGGAGGTGGTATTCTGACCCGGGACCCCCCCCAGGACCCCCCCCGGGACCCCCCCCAGGAACCCCCCCGGGGACCTCCCCCAGGAACCCCCCCCAGGCTTCCCCCGGGACCCCCAAGGAGGAGGGAAGTGGTATTCTGACCTGGGACTCCCCCCGGGAACCCCCCCGGACCCCACCCGGGACGTTCCCCGGGACCTCCCCAGGACCCCTCCCCTGTCCCCCGGGACCCCCCCAAGGTGGCAAAAGACGCCCAGGAGGAGGAGGAGGGAGGTGGTATCTCTGACCCAGGACCCCCCGGGACCCCAAGGACCCCCCCCCGGGACCTCCCCCGGGACCCCCCCCCCCGGCCGGGGAAGGGAAAGGGAAGGGGAAACCCTTCGAGTCAATTTACTTCACTACGCAGGAGGAAGAAATGAAGGAGGAGGAGGAGGAGGAGGAGGAGGAGGAGGAGGAGGAGGAGGAAGGAGGAGGAGGAGGAGGAGGAGGAGCAGGAGGAGGAGGAGGAGGAGGAGGAGGAGGAGGTGAAGCAGGAGGAGACGAACGAGAAGGAGATTGAGAAGGAGGGAAAGGGAAGGAGGCACGGACGAGAAGAACGACCCATTCCACACGCCGACAGGGTCGGCGGATTTCCAGTGCCATGCCACGGCATGCAATGCAATGCTATGTGGTGTTCCGCTGTGTGATGCCATGCCTTCAGCTGCAAGGCTCGGATATGCAGTGCTTGACTACGCAGTGCCACGCCATGCTATGCCGTGCTACGCTTTGATCTTCAATGCCATGCTATGCAATGTTATGTTCGGGGCCGCTGTGCGATGCCATGCTTTGCGTTGCAATACTTTTTTAATGGAATTATTCACTAAGCAACGCCACTTTCATGCTATGACATACTACGCGCTGCCGTGCTCTTCTACGCCCTGCTATGCCGTGCTCTACGATGCAGTGCGCACCCACTCGGGATCATTGCCCTGCTCGACATCCGACTGTGCGAACGGAGAGGAGATCTTCGCCATGGTAAGGGATGGAAAGGGAAGAGAAGGACGCCAGATATGACGCGAGCGCACCTAGCTTGCCTCCCCTCCCCTCCCCTCCCTCCTCCCCCCTCGCCCTTCTCCCTCCCCCCCCCCCCTCCCTCCCTCTCTGCCCTTCTGCCGTTTGCTCTCCCGTCAGTGGGGGCCCCCTGGGAGCCCCGGGGGGGTCCCCTCCTGGGCCGCCCGAGGGCAACCTTGCGGCGCCTTCCTCCCGCCCGCTCTCCCCTGCACGCTCCCCCCCCTCTGGCAGCAAGCGTGCTTCCAATTTTCACGAGCACTGCGACTTGAAAGCCGCACCTGCGGGAGCTGAATATGGAAGGCGCATGCGTTTAGGGCTACCACCCAAGGCCCCCAGCAAAGCCGAGAGGGAGGCCCGACAGGGGCCCGTTGGGAAGTCCCCCATCCCGGGTGTAAGGCGGTTTTCTTTTTTTTTCACTTAGTGAAAAACTTGCTCTTGCTCTTGCCCCCTCCGCCGGCGCCTCGGGCCCAGGCCGCGCGTCCCGAGCAGTCCGGCAGTCACCAAGCTCGAGGCGCTGGGGAGGCCACCCCCAGGCCAGCCACAACTGGGGGAGCTGTGGTCCTTACCCCCCTGGGGGGCCCTATCGATTTCGACACCCCTCTCGAGAGATCGTCGATGCGATGGGTTCCCCCAGGGGGGTAAGGACCACAGCTCCCCCAGTTATGGCTGGTCGGACCCCCCCCGCCACGAGCTCAGGGGCCGATCCCGCGGAGCCTCCCGCGCGGCCGTGCGAGCGATGGGGGTGCACAGGGCGGAGCCGCTGGCGAAGGCGGCCGTGGGGGTGAAACGGGGGAGGTCCTCGTCCTCCTGCTCCTGCTCCGGCTCCTGCTTCCTCCTCCCCCCCCCTCCTCCGTAGCCATTTTGGCGCAAGGCGCAGGGCCCTCAGGAGAAGCAAGCGGATACCGCTAGGCCGCGGCTGGCAGGGCCCCTTCAGGCCTGGCATCTCCTTCCCCTGTCCCTACCCCACCGACGGGCAGGCGCGTTGCGGAACGACAGAGATGGCGGTGCAAGTCTTGCAAGCACGAGCGCAACGGCAGTCACCTGGGTTTCAGGTTCCTGTGTGACCCCAAACTATTCTTGCGAGACCTTCTCTTGCTGGTGACAACGCTGTGGTCAAAGAACTTGTCAGCATCGCGTGGGTCCGTACCGTCTCGCAGGCTGTTCTGATTTCATACATGTGCGATGCCGCCGAAGTCCAGTGCCATCCGCAAACGTGGTCGATGGTGCGTCAGCCTCTGGCGGCATTGGCGTTGATACATGGGAGAATCGGTTGGGGGCTGGACTTCGATTCGCGAATCCTCACGGATGACCTCCGCCGTCGTTGGAATGTCGTCATATGTTCCCCTCGTTTTTTTTTTTTTTTTTTTTTTTTTTATAGTTTTTGCTGAGCTCCTCCGTCCGTCGAATCGTGGAAAACGAGGGCCAACGGCTTCAGGACTCTCTCAAGGCCTGATCTGGGCCTGTTTTCTGGGAGGTGGTGCACAGTGTCCTCGCCACGAAGGCCTCTGAGATCTGGACTTCTCATAACACAGCCTGTCTTGGGGCCCTCGCGGGTAATGTCTTTTGGAACCAGGCGCGTCTGTCCAGGAAATGCTCGGACCTCGTGGATGTGTGCAGAGCCTGTGAAGGCGCGGTGGGCACTCTGTACCATCGTAGGATCGAGTGCCCCGCTTTCGATGCCACCCGCAGGGCGGCGCAGAAGATAACAAGTGTTGGGAGGCGGTGTTGGTGTGTGTGTGTGTGTGTGTGTGTATGTGTTGTGTGTGTGTGTGTGCGTGTGTGTGTGTGTGTGTGTGTGTGTGTGTGTATGTGCGTGTGTGTGTGTGTGCGTGTGTGAGAGAGATAGCTATTCGCTCGGTGAATCCTTCCCGACCCCTTTCGTTGGTTCCTGCGCCGCCCGCGAGATCTGGATCCCACTTAAGTCCGATTCAACAGTTGGCCACAGGATCGATTTCCGAGGGTTCCGTTCTCTTTGCCGACGGTGCGGGTTTTGAATGCAAGTGCAGTAGCCTTCGCATTGCGTCTTGGGTGGTGCACTTCGGCGACGTGAAGGGGGAGTGTGTTTCCTCGATCTCTGACATCGTTCCATTGAGTGAAGCGCCCGAGCAAATTACCCGGGATGGCGAAGACTATGCCATGCTGATGCTGTTCATGCATTCGATGATTGCTGGCCCCTCTGCGATTGACATTGATTGTGCTGACACCCTTGGCTGTCTCAAAAATCTGTCCAGTACCCAGGGGCCCAGGAACGTTCGGGCCCATGGGTGGGGACCGTCTTGAGGGGCTCACGGCGGTGAAAGTTCAGTCTCACATTGCCCAGGCTCAGTTTATAGACGACCTTACCACTTATCATCAGCGGCGTGGCAGCGACGTGGCCGATCAGCTGGCCAAGGCAGTTGGCCAACCCCTTTCGAGTTGAGGAGGCAGCGCGGCACCGTCCCACGGGCTGCAGACAGTTGGACCGACGCACGTCTATTTCTCTGCCTCGATGGAGGCCGCGTTGGGTGAGCAGATCAGGGCCGACCATTTTAGGGGGCCGCACGTGAACCCTACCCATACCCCCCACGATTTCTGAGGGGGTAGGGGTAGGGTTCGCATGTGGCCCCCCTACATTTCGACCCAGGCTCAGTTTATTGACGACCTTACCACTTACCATCAGCGGCGTGGCAACGACGTTGCAGGCAGTTGGACAGACGCACGTCTACTTCCCTGCCTCGATGGAGGCCGCGCTGGGTGAGCAGATCAGGGCCACAAGCGAACCCTACCCCTACCCCCCACGATTTCTGGGGGTGGGGTGGGGTTTCACTCCGCTCGGGGGAACTCCCGAGCGGAATGAACCCCACCGCTCTAATGTGGCCCCCCCTACATTTCGACCCCTGCTTGGAGGCCGACCATCTCGACCTTGGTGTTTTTCTTTCTGTGCGCGGTTGTCAGGATAGCCCTCTTGAAGGGCAGCGGATTCCTCCTTTTCCCTTGCCTCTTTGCCGAAAAAACAAATCTCGACCCTGGCTTGGATGTCGACGGTCTCTCCCTCTTCGTCCCCGGCCTTCCCCCCCGTGCGCCCGAGGCAGGCCTCGCTCGGGACACTGCCTGGGCGCGCCTGCGCCCTCGGTGCAGCGCGGCCCGCTGCCGCTACCGCCGGCCGCTGCTGCCGCTGGCTGCTCACTCCTCCCTCCTCCTCCTCCTCCTCCTCTCCCTCTCCTCTCCTCCTCCTCCTCCCCCCCTCCTCCCTCCTCCTCCTCCTCCTCCTCCTCCTCTCTCCTCCTCTCCCCCTCCTCTCCTCCTTCCTCCTCTCTCCTCCTCCTCCTCCTCCTCCTCTCCTCCTCCTCCTCCTCCTCCTCCTCCTCCTCCTCCTCCTCCTCCCTCCTTCCTCCTCCCTCCTCCTCCTCCTCCCTCCCTCCTCCTCCTCCTCCTCCTCCTCCTCCTCCTCCTCCTCCTCCTCCTCCTCCTCCTCCTCCTCCTCCTCCCTCCTCCTCCTCTGCCTCTTCGTTCTCCCCTCTGGGGGTGGTAGGGCGGTAGAGCGGATGAGGCGGGGAGGGCCTCGGGGAATGGACCACGGCTCGGGGGAGCCTGAAGCCCCCTCGAGAGCCGAGCGGCCAGAGCTTCCAAGGTGGCCTGCCCCGGGTCGCGCGATCACTGAAGCAGCAGCCGCTGACCTCGCTGCTTCGTCGCAAGGGCCTGGGTCTTTTGCGTTTGGCACCGGCTGCGGGTCGGCTTGCACGATCGGGAACAGTGTCGGCAAGTCTGCTCTCGCGTCAGACTGCCCGGGTCGTCGGTCAGTGGGGCGCGAGCGGCAGCAGGTTCGGATTTCGCAGGGCCAGCACCCCAGCAAGACGACTTCTTGTATCGTCTCGTGCCGCTGTGCTACCAGAGCGTGTTCGAGCCCACTTAGGGTTAAAGAAGGGCCTCCGCTGGTGCCTCCCAGCACGCCGGATCATGGGGCAGGGCCGAGGGCGCGGGGTGGGTCGTCGGTGTTGCTTGAATGTTCCGCTGGAGTGCCTTCGGGGGGCGTCCCTGACTCGGCCGCTCCCGACAACCCCTCGGGAGTAGGGTCCCCGCCAGACCTCCAGAGGGGGCTGGCCCTGTTCGGTCTTTCTTGGGGGGAGGCGGTGGAGCTCAGAGCCTGGGTGGAGAACCATGCTCGGGTTCGGGCCCGCCAAGGTCGGGACCGACCCTTCCTGCCCCCTTCGAGGACGAGCAACAGTCTGGTGCCGTACTCCTTGTGCTGGCAGGGCTTCCTGCCTCTCTCCCTTGCCTTTTCACTCGGTCGCACCTCTCGCTGATCGCTGCGCTCCTCCTCCTCCTCCTCCTGCTCCTCCTCCTCC